GGTCGAGGATCTAAGCATATCCGCAGCTTGCCATTTGGTTTGGAGACAATGACTAAGGCGTTGACCCATTCGGTTGGTTTTTCGACTGGTTCAATAACATTGAGCTCAACCATACGTTGCAATTCCTCTTTGAGCTTTGGCTTTAGAGCAAAGGGTACTTGTCTGACAGGAATGATTACAGGTTTCACATCATCTCTTAGTTCGATGTGATGTGTTCTCTTCAAACATCCAATTTCTCCAAAACAGTCAGAGAATTCCTCGTCAATAGGAGTATGAGATTGCACTTCCTCTGAAATTTGATACACTTGTTTGATCAAGTTCAGTTTGTCACATGTATTTAATCCTAGTATGGGGACTGAGTCTGAATCTACAACCATGAAGAGAATGGGAATTGTTTGTCTCCTGTGTTTGACTTGAGCAATGCACTTACCAGCAACAGGGATAGTTGTGCCATTATATGCAGAGAGCTGGACGTTTGCTGTTTTGAGCTTAGGTCTAGGTGAGAGGTTGGAAAGTAGGCGCTTTGGAATTACATTGCACTGGGCTCCAGTATCTATCTTGAAATTGACATCAGTTCCATTCACGCCCAGTGTGACAGACCAATCTAATTTGGTATTGTTAACTGTGAAAACATTGGGACTAGCATTGGTTGGCATGGATTTGGGAATTGGGGTGTTTTCACCATCACCTTCAGTTGAGAGATTCTGATTGGTATCAGTGACTTTAACCATATCGATGAAAAATTCATCATCAGAGGACTTATCCTGCTCAGTAACACATTTGACAGATTTTTGGGAACAGCAAACAGCGAAATGATTCTTACGGTTGCATGTTCTACACCGTTTCCCGTAGGCAGGACAGTTGCCACGTTGGTGGGAGCCATTACAAAACTTACATTTCTTGATGACGTCATCAGGGGCTCTGCTAGATTCTTTGAGTTTTCTTTCTTTTGAATGATAAACTTGGTGAATATCTGACGATTGTTGATGTTTTTCGAGTTCTTTTGCGTGACGCTTGGTTTCCTCTGCAGCAATACCGGCATCAATGGCCTTGGCAAGGGTTAAATCCGCATCGCGTAAGAGTCTTTCACGGAGGGATTGATCAGCTACCCCACAAACAATCATGTCCTTAATCAGTGAATCAGCTAAAGTCTCAAATTCACACTCAGAGGCTCGTTTCTTAAGTTCTATGACGAAATCGTTGAAAGACTGACCTTCGTGTTGGCTGTAGGTAAAGAATTGATGGCGAAGTATAGTGATATTCTTTCTAGGATTACAATATGCACTGAATTTTTCTAATACAACCTTGAGTTTCAGCTTGTCAGTTTCTTGTGAGAAGGTAAATGTCTCGTAAATTTCGCGTCCTTTGGGTCCAATGCAGGTTAAGAGAATGGAGGTTTTCACTTTATCGCTCTTTGAATCTGATTCAGTAGCAGTGAGATAAAAATTGAAGTGTTTTTCCCATATTTTCCAGCCATGAGATACGTTTCCTTCAAAGGAAAATGGCGGCGGTGGTTGAAGCTTATCCATAAATGACGATCAAATCCAAGTAAAATCTACCAAATTTCGAGGCAAAGCGAGACACAACGTCAACGAAGAACGATCAAACGATTAGATATATAAAAATTCGGTTATAAACAAACTTTAGCAGCGAAAATCCCTTCCTGACACCATGTTCTGTTTGAATACACACGTTTTTAAGACAGAGAATATAAAAACATATATTTGGCGCGAACGCATTGTATGACGTAATTACAAGACTTAAATAACATACGTCAGAATAACAAAACAAATATGTAACATCATGCAACGAATAAAAATGTTCCAATCCATGCCGAAATTTGTCTAACTGTATTAGCTACAAGTAATGAAGTATCCGTTATACAGCAAAATGTTAACGAACATTGCCCCCCCCCAAAAAAAAAATAAAATTAAGTCTCAAGAGTAAGTGCCCTTTTTAAATGGCTGCCCTCGCCGCTTCATGTTGCTTCCGGCGCCCCTGTGTGAGGTGAATAGTGCAAGGATGTCCGGAGGCGAGCAACCAATCAGATTGCTTGAAAACTGCACTATCCTCAGCCTGAGTATATGCTAGTGCTAATGATATAATAAATATTAATATCCTTCGCTTGAAAGGTCGATGTAATTTTATTCTTTTTCATGTCACATACTTGATCAGTGTTTCTTATTGATAAAAAAGATACATCAGTTGGTGTACTATGCATCAAACCTTAAACAAATTTTTATCAATTCTAAATGTGGGGTTTTGGTCAGAGGCGGATCCAGGATTTTTCGTACGTTAGTCAAAGTTTTCAGATGTACAATCTAGTTTTGCGAGCGGTGAATGCGCGAGGTACCTAGGGGGGGGGGGGGCTGTCCCCCAGGGTGTCTGTCCCCAAGAAATATTTTATATTTAAACCTCAGAAACGCCATTTGCAGCACTCTGAAAGCAGCTTCAACGAAAAATTAACTTCATGAATTGGGAGATAATTATAGCAATTATCAGTCTCACTGACTCTCACAACTCGCTCCTTAGGGAAATTTAAAAGAGAAGTACTTGCAGAATTGTGATAAGTGTGGAAGATGTTTCATTTTATCAAATTACGAATTGCTAGTATTATGTTTAACTAACTCATGATGGTATTACACTCATTTATGTTGCCTAATAGCCTTGTTGAGTCATTGATCACTTGACTAGTAAACACTACAGTGTCATATTACTCAAATAAACATATATCAATATTAAAGTTTGAACATTCATCAATAAATTAAAACCTGACCTTTAGATCCTATGTATGCTGCATTAATGCATTTATATCGGTTATCCTCAATATTAATAGCCTCCTGAGTTCTGACGGTCCTTCAACCGCACAAATATGCAAATTTGTTGTGTAAATCAAAATTCATGGCTAAATGCCTAAATCAAGATACGCGTATAAGCGTATTTACACATGCGTGGCGTGCATCTTGTTCGCTTATAAATATTGTTATGCTGTCTAAAACGAAATAAAATTTACATATCACATTAAATTTACCTTATTGCACTTCAGAATAAAGATCTCGGCGCCAATACTTCTGCTCAAACAGTCAAACACTCAAACTGTAGTTCGTGCTACTCATAGCGCCTAGCAACTGCTCACTGAATCGAACTCTCCGATATTTAGCGTCGATTTTCCTCCCAAGATCAGCGCAACAGTCTTGTAAGACAGCTAAATCATTCACCGCAAATGCGGATTCAACCGTTTCATGAATACTACAAGGATGGGAGCAGCAGACATTTCTGATTGAATCCTTCGACAAAGCTCCAACATGACACTTCGAATGAGCGCGCGCTCGGAAAGACTTTACCACGCGTGAAATATAATATTAATGATATCATGGATAATAAAATAAATTTTATTTTATTATCCATGATGATATTAAAGTGTCCCTGTCACAAAATGAGAGTTTATATTTTCGAAATCTATGATACAAAATATACGGAAATTCGAAAACAGAATCGAAATTTCTCTTTTAGTGTAAAAGTTATTGCCGTTTAAACATTGAATTTGGCCTTGTGAAAAATCTGAAAACCGCGCAGAAGAGACTGGGACGAAACAATGCGTGTGACGTAATAGTAGGAACTTATCTAGCTCACTGATGTAGAAATACTATTGCATGTACTATCATAGAGCAGGCAATTGCGCAAATAACAGTCACGAAAATGAAAAATTGCCGAATATATGTGTAGTAGGCGGTTTTTCTAATATCACAGATACAGAGAAAGGCATTTCACTTCATTTTATAACTTTTACTGGAGACGAGATGCACGAAGCGAAAAGGAGACGGGTTGACTTCGTGCACCTTAAACGAGCAATATGAGATACAAGGTGCAATTTTTATTACAAATTCGTTATTGTAAAAATAAGCTGCAAATTGTAAAAGAAGCTGCTTCAATGCAGTCAGTCGATATATGGCCATAGTCACGAAACTCGAAAGCGCGATAAATATAAATGAGCCACAGTCAATGGATTTACCATGCGAAATATAAAATATCGCGACAATATATGAGTGAATATGGTCAAAATATTAAATATAGTGGATGAAAGCCAATTTCTTACGTCTACAAGCAATGTGCACTGTTTGTATTTTAGATTAGACAGGTAAAGTAGAATTGTATAAGTGAAAATCGTTGTATTTGACCGCAGGGAAAACCCGTACAATATGCAGATGTAACAAATTGTGGCATGAAACCTGATACACTGTAGGGATGTGTATAAAATGTATTACAAAGTATAATCCATTGAAGCAACTTAATGAAATAACTTAGTCATTGCCACATTTGCTAGGAACATACCTGGAACGAAATACAAGTCAGAAAAATACTTGAACGCGCTGCAACACTTTGCACAAATTAACCCGCGCGCACGAAGTGCAGGAAAACATCAGATACAAATCTTAATCTTAAATTTCAGCCTCTTTGGCAAAATAATATTGTAATAAGTCATGAATATAGCAAATGTGCTGTTTCTATACGCAATACAGTATAATATTACTACGCTTATACAGTGTAATAGGTTTATTTATTGAAAAATAATTCTATAATATCAAGAGCTGTCCTCTACAAATCCTACAAAGTCTTCATCAATAGCATGCAGCCTACAGGCATTATTTTCTCGTATGCGCAAAAATGTCTATTTCCTAGTTGTCCATAAACCATCTACACAAAGTTTCTATATGCTGTGCTCCTTCAGAATCTATAAATTAATAAATAAGTCTTTTTAATAAGTCGCTTACTTGCATGTGGACACATGTAAATATATAATAATTCAATAATTGTACAGCATGTACCGTATATACTATATAAACTCTCAGTTACCGTACCGCATGCCGGCATGCGTGTGTTCACTGATAGTAAACTCGGGTACGGTAAAGTGTTTCATAATTTCAATATGTTGATAAATAAAACTTTATTTTCCCATCTTCTGTGTTTGTTTGACGGTATTCCTGCTTCTTTCTTGTTCGTAATTTCGTGGCTGCTGAACGGAGGGCTCACTTATCTAGTGATAAGCTGTTGAATTATACATGATGGCGCGCTTCATCTTGCATCACAAATCACAATGTTACTGTGTAGAGAATCGACGCACTCCTCAATTTCCATACAACATTGACACTCTTTAGCATAATTTACAAAGCAGTTCAATGCGACAATTGCCACGTTTACACCTGAAATATTATATTTTGTAATTTGAATACTGTGTATGTAGAAACACTGGCAAGTCACGAAACGCAAGGTCAAGTCACGCAACAAAATATTTACCATTTACTCAATTCTTCTGAACTATCAAGCCTTTGTTGTAGTTGCTTAAGACGTTCGTCGTGATTGCTTTTTTTCACGGTAACTTTTGAGCCAATCTTCGTCGGGCACTGGTTCATTAACATATCGACCAACGTCGTGCGCACGAATGATCGGCGCTGCTTGACTACGCTTCACTGGTGTTTTCATCAATTTCACTCGATTTCATACGGCTCAGGAATATAATTTCAGTCAGTCATCGCTTTGGTAACTGTTATTTTCCGTATCTGAACTCGACGAAGACATTTGTATCGAATTTTGACCAGCTTGATTGTGATTCTCACTTAGTATTTATATACTTTTGGCTTAGGCGAGTAGGCAATGTCTTCCTACTATGACGTATTAGTTACCAATTTCCCAGCTTCGCGGTTTTCAAAAACTTTTGCCGTTAAAATTTGAAATTTTCAAATTTCATTGCCTTATTACTCTGTGAAAACAAGCTCAATTTTAATTCTGTTTTGTACGTTTCAAGACGATTCTATTAATGTAAACTCTCATTTTGTGACAGGGGCACTTTAAGACTAAAGGGGCGCCCCTGACGTTTGTAAATCGGTCAGAACTCCCCATAGATTAGTCAAATTTGCAAAAAATCGCTTGTTTCCATGGAAATAAGCGTCTAGACCAATCAGAACACTGGATTTTGACTTTTTGACTGACCGACTTTGCGTATGTCAGCTGCTCATTGATTGACTAAGCTCGTCGGCTCAGCCACTGTATGAAATTTGATCACTGGACTACAGTTCAATTGGAATGTTAATTGCTAGTGCTGCATGATAATAGATACTGGACTATTATAAAGTGCCACTGCATGATAAAAAATAACTGGACTATTGGTCGAATATTTAATGCTTTAATCAGACTTTAATTAAGTTTGTAATTTTTACGTTAGTCGCGTGACTGGTTTGACGACCCCTAGATGTAGCTTTCAATAATGAGCTGTTTTTGTTTTGCATGCATGTAACTCACCTGGAAAAGTTAGAAGGTCGGCCAAAACAGCCTATACTAAGTATTTTTCAGTTATTTTCACCTATATACCTGTCTTCATATGTGCGACTTAATCGCACAGTCAACACTCCATTTGTATCCTTTCCTTCCAATCTCAGATCATCTTCAGGTAACTCTTTCAAAGGACACAGGACATTGTACTCATTCTCTAGAACCTTTTCAACTTTGCATGAGTTCAGAGACAACGAGCTGAACTCAAATCTGACATCATAGTTTGCCAGAGCAATGAAGACTTCATGTACTAACGGAGAAACCTTATCGAGCACCAGTCGAGTCCTCGCTTTATCTTCAAGCATTAAGGAATTGACAGACTCCACAATCTTGTCGTTCAGTTCAGCTGTCATTATCTGTTTCGGTGTAACAACGTAACTGGAAAAGATAAAAGACCGTATTATATACACGGCTAAAAACGCACAGGTTGTTCCAAGTTGATATCGACAGGCGTGAACAATGTTGCAATTGTGTTCAACTTTGGTTCTGGCGCTTTTGCCGTGAGTGTATTTCGATAAAATTGCACCCCTTTTAATATCGGGTAATTTAAGTTTATGTATACACGATTAGTATAGGTAATCGCATGGGGCCGAGTAAAATTAAGGTTTAATATCACGCGTGTTTTCAAAGGTTCACAAATTTGTGAAACTTTGAAAACACAAGCGAAATTAAACCTTAATTTTACGAGGAACTATGCGATTACTTGTTAATCATACAGGGCAAAATTTATTCGTAAGTTAATTGTGAACTTGTCACAAGTTCTTGAACCTCCTATGTCTCCATGTCTTCGCCGATGTTTCTTAATGCTGCCCTGTCTGCCCATTTCTTAAATACTCGAACCAATAATGGCAATAAATTTGTACTTTTCTATAGTGTTCAAGATTTTACTAGAAGTTTTTAATTCTTCAATAACATCATTATGCGCGACGCCGACAAAGCGAGAAGCCATTGTTTTTATTGCGATTTAATTAAAACAAAAAACTTCTCGCGCTTGCGTCTCAGCCAATCAGGTACAAGTAATTTTGCCCTAAATTAAGGAAAAGTGCCCTCCTCATTAGCCAATCATATTTGAGTAATTTTGCCCTCCATATGATTAAGCCTGTGACGCACACAGCTAAATACACTGATTTACATTAAAGTTACTTTTTCATTTCGTTTGGTTGTGGCACTGCCTAAATAAACTGATACACAGTTCAAGTTAAATCAGTCTGACTCTACCAAAGCCAGGGTCATCGATAGGCATCAATGCATGGTTTGTCAATTGCGACAATTCTAGAATTTCTCTGTCTTAGTTCTATAAGAATTCTGTAGTATATATACATGCATATTGGTAAAAAGATACTCGCATGCATGATGTTTTATATACCGCCAACTGTTTATTAAAAGTTTGTGAAAAATAATTGAGAGTTGTTATGATGTGGCTGGCGTGGAAAACTGTCTAACATTAGTATAGTTCGTCGGGATACTATAGGAATGAGGCAGGAAGTATAATTGTAGCACAGAAAATCATTGCCCATCGATATATATCGGAAATCATCAAATCAGTTGAGTTTTGCAACATTACTGCAATAAATGCTGATTACTTGCATCACTGAACATACACTACAATACTAGTTCTATCCGCGCACCTTTCTTGTCATTGTTTTGGTTTGACATCTAGAAAACCTGCCACTTGACTTTCTTTTATTAATTTACAGGGCACGTTACATGTGCAAATAAAATATTTCTGCTTCATCAACTACCAATTACAACTTTCATTTACTGTCAAACTATTTGCTGTGGCAAGACAACTGTATGCCAGCCGGTGTATATGTACGCACAATGTGGCACTCGTCAAGGGCAACTCAAATTAAATTATTTTTATTTCTTTTAAATAAATTGTGTATGTAATTTCTACAGAGTTTGATAAAATGTGTTACCTTTTACGACTTACCTGCTTCGCTTATGATTTTGTCTTAGCATTTTACTTCATACTGCCACCGAGCTCAATAATTCTTGTAGTGAACGACTTACTCAAAGTTGAGGGAAAACGTTTCACCGTGGGCCACATTAATACTCCATAGAAGACTGTAAGTTATAATTACATATTTCAGTTGTATACTCGTTTGATGTGTCACTAATTTTGCTTTCACAATCCACTATCGCGTGCGATAGAAATAAAAACCTTCGAGTATTTTTAACTCAACAGATCATTTATAGCCAATAAATCAATTGCTTGGTTGATTTCTGAACAAATAATGCTTCAGTGTACGACATGTAATCACAGCCATTCCCTTTGAAACTGAAAAGTCCAGCTGCGCTGCACACGAAATTTGCATTAGGAAAATGGAAGTCTAAGTGCTAAATTCAAAGCTCTATGTGGGTTGCACCCAGCAGGCCGCGAGAAAATGTCTTAATTGGAGTGTGTACATGCGCAGAGTAAAGACAAAGAACAATAATTTTTGTGTTTTAAATCCAATTGACGCCTTCGATATTGATGAATAACCGGTGCCGTATAGTTAAGGAGAAACAACCGAGACACGTTTCATATTTATGTCTCCCTGTTAATGCGTTGGCCCCGGTTTAGACGCCGGCCCATTATGAGTAGGACTTAATTAACTGAATTAAATGAGAAGCATATGCATGGCGTCCGAATCAAATAAGCACCGTACTTTATCATTAAGAACGGCTGAATTAAAAAGTTCGTCTGGTAGCCAGGCGTGTTTCACGGCTGAAGCACGGGTTGATTCGTACAGCCGTGATTGTCGTGAGTCGTACCAAATGCATAAATTATGATAACAGCCAAATTTGCATGTTTCTCTCCAGTCTCGTCCTAGCTCGCGCGCGGGAAAATTGAGGGTCCTGAAGGGGGGTCGTATTCCCATTTCCCAGCCCAAATTTCGACTAAATCCCATTGTCCCAGAGCACAAATCCCATCATCTCAGTGGCTGTCCTGCTCAAATCTTAATCCCATTCCCATTTTCTATTGTTTTTTTGCTGATGAATCCCAGTCCCAATGCATGAAATCCCATTTTCCCACCCAAAAATAAGCAAATCCCAGTTCCCATTTTACCCCTTCAGGACCCTCAAAATTAGCACCACGCGGGAATCATTTTAATGGCTGCCTGTATATCACATGTAAAGGCCTGTAAAGGGAAACAAAATAAGAATGCATTCAATGTGTATCGCAACATCGAATGCATTATGGCAGTAAACCATGGCAATTCACAACACTATTCTTCTCATGGCGATCAAGATATTAGTCATATTATGCAACAAGCAATTTTCTTATGAAAATAACCCTTTTCCGTCCAAGCATCATGCTTGATTTGCATAGCATTTAAAAAGCTGTTTAATTACGAGAACTGTGAAGATCATATGAGATTTCATTATATAGCAGAGAGTGAAAAATACACAGTGAGACATTTTCCATATCTTCACCAGTGAGGATATCAATCACGTGACTTCTTCCAATTTGCTTTCGAGTGTGAAATTTCACAATTTTTTTCTTGGGACTATATGTCTATATAATAAACAAAACATTACACGGTGGCTTCAAGATATGAATTTTATCCTTTCGTATTAAAAACAATATTCGTAAAATATCGTTCGTAAAATATTGTTTTCACCACTCGAAGATAAAAGTCATATATTTGCGCCGCCGTGTAATATCCTCTATATATTTCAAAAAGACCGCCATTTTTGTTGTTATGAATGTCACTCGCCCCAGGATTAGAAGGGAAGGAGGGCAGTTACTGATTAAGTAAAATTAAACATACACCTATTTTAGTCGAATAAACTGATATGAAATTAACACTGTTTGGGGTAACTTAATTAATGAAATTTAACCAGGAACATAAGGTAGCCCAAACAGTGTTAATTCTAGATGAACCAGGAAATTTTTAACCAGGGTGTTTTTAGAGTGTATCCAACTCACATCACAAACAGCCGAATAAATGGGAAATCACAAAGGGAAAATTAAACAATTGAAGATGCATGTAACCTGGTCTGACTACGGCCTGCCACACATGAGAGAAACTTGCCGAGCTAACCCGTCTCGCGTGGCGGTTAGCTCAGCCATAGCTCAGCTATGCATTTTCACCCGCACACGTTGGGAAAACTACTCAACAGCAATATCGTTGATATGATCATTTCCCTCCCTTGTCGCCATTTTGACCAAATTGTCGCCATTTTGACCATTGGCGCAGGCTTAACACACAGTGAGCCAAGCTAGAAAACTCTCTGAAGCATCTGGAACGCATGAAGACTCATTTTTCAATCACCATGCATGTGTTATGTTAATTGGACAGTTTTATAAGATACCGAGATATTAATAATATTTAATGAATATAAAATCTTGACGTTTCATACATTCCATACCATATTTTGTTGTTAAAATACTAATTGATGATTAGCTATGCCTACAGTGAGAATCACTATCAAAGCAGTTTTAGTCATTTTGGGCCGGCCAATTTGGCATATTGGACTTGTACAAATATTATATACTTAAATTAATCCTACACTGCTATATACGTGTCTTTCAAGACAAACGCAGGATCATTTCTTTGTAAAATTTCCTCACACGACCAAACTCTCGACTAAGAAACTTCAAATCCTTCTTATGACAATTTCCCAAAATATTGACATGAGTAAACACGTTATTATTGCTTTTCTCGTTTAAAGCTGTCCTGGCTGACTTCAATAAAGAGTCCAAGCGAAGAGAAAACTTTTCTGGGCTCCATTCTTTTGGTTTTGGATTCTTGAGTATTTCACGTAAGGTAAGCAAACGAATATTATACAACGATAAACTTGGTAGATTGTTAGCAACGAGATATTTCTTTTGAAGTGAATGTATGGCAAAAATGCAATGTTGAACGCAGAAGAATTTATCAAGATTAAGTATTCTGTTTTCCAAATCATTGAATGTTATTCTCCACAGCGTATGTGCAAGCGCTGCAGTCGGTCGGGCAACAATTTGAATACATTCAACGCTATCTCTGTGGTCAAGTACATCAAAGACATGAGCGATTCTTTCGTCAAATTTTTTCAAGGCTAAACATTTCCTACTGACCCACATTGCTGGAAGTAGGTTGAATCTATAGATGCCATTGAGATGCAGGTTTACAATCAAGGTGATAAACCCAGATTTAGTTTCACAAATTATCGAAGCACCTTCCTGATTTTCACAATTTAAGATTGTTCTTACTGCCCGATGTAAGGCAAGGCGAATCTTATTTGTGTCCAGATAACGGTCTCTTGACCCAGGATATCGAGTACACACGTCTTCCCAGCATGCTTTGTCGTAACTAAATGAAAAGAGCCTTGTTTAAAAAAATGAAATCACAACTATACTAGTAATCGCACAACGTATAGGTGGCATTCCACAATAATCTACCGTACAGTAGTTGGTTTATAAACTATCTGAAAAAGATTGTTCAGGAGTAAAGGTAATTAATACACCAACTATATATGACAATAAAACTATCTGAGGTCGAGCTTTAAATTAAACACTTTTGGCAGCCGCTAAAAGTCTAATCTATATCTTAATCCCCATTTTCCTTGACAAGTTGACTTGACAAGTTAACCTTCTCGATCATATGTATGGTAAACTCGTTTTCCTTGACAACTTTCCTTTGACAAGTTTTGTTGCTCATGTGCACGGAATGTTGTTTAAAATCTCACGTCAAGGCCGCCTTTTTAGTGTTTGCCAAAATCATAAGAAAGATTTCTTGTACACTTGTAGGTTTTCCATGGCGGCTGTACATGTTTGCTTTGGAGCAAAATAATTCCTTGGCAAGGAAGAAAAAATTGTCAATTTTGCCGTACACTGCACGATCAAATAAAATTTGTCAAGGAAGACTTGCCACTAGGAAAAATTGCCCGTCTGTACAGGGACTTAGAACCAGTCCAGAGCCGTATATCTGTGTCCAGGGTATGATATAAGTATTTTATACCGAATACGATGGCTTTACCAGTGTCAATTGCAGTGGAAGAACCGACGAAATAAAAGTGTTCTAACAGCCTATGTGTACTACTTTTTCATAACTATAATAGGATAAAATGCACATGTCTATCACTGGACATTCAATACGTTATACCAAATTAATAGTGACGGAAGCAACCGCGGCTGAAGCCACGAATTTCTAGCTTCAGTTAGCCAAGAATAAGGTGATATAAGAGTTTGTAAAATGTCAATTTACTGAGACGAAATTATAAGCTCACCTACCTATCGCTATAACTCTCCGCTAATTTCAACTTGACAGCGCCACTTCTTGCATCTCCTTCCAAACTCATTTCTTCATATGGCAAATGTTTGAGCGTACACATCAAATTGAACTCGTTCAGTGTCACTCTCTCACAACGGCAATCATCCAACGATACTGGATCAAACTCAAACCTTATATCAATGCTTGAAAGATCACAAAACAATCCATTGATGAAGGCAGCTGCTTTGTCGAAACCTAAACGAACTCTGGTCTGATCTTCACGCATCAGTCGTTCGATTTTGTGAAACAATTCCCCATCACTGTGCGATATGTCAGTCATGTTGGACAGAAATCTAGAACTGATGAGATATATAAAAACGCTTTTCAGTTAAAATCTTTCTTTGTTCATGATATTGAGACAGTTTTAAAAGTCCTTTGTGAATATAGACCATGTTATGTTAATAATTAATTGCATGCATAAAACAGTAGTATTATAACTATAGCAATATCGGCCGCACGTCTTTATATAGGCTGAATCATAAAATGCCTTAAAGTTCATAGGCTATCTAAGTTTTGACCGATATAAACTTAAAGTTACATTTCCTGTTATATTTAAGCATGGTTTTAATTATATAAGAGTGTCTTCCTAATACAATTTATTCCATGAAAATTTTGTATTATATTTAATATGTGCAGATATTGAACTTTTGATTTTAAATTAGAAATTCAAATTTAAAAGAACTTATTATAATAAATAGTACTTAAAAGAAAATTAAATTTTTGGCCTTAAATCTCGTTTCTCATTTAAGTTCAATGAGAATAAACTTAACTTTCCCAGTTAAATACACAGCAAAAAATCATTTTCTTATTAAGAAAAAAATTTCTTAATTTAAGAAAAAAAATCTTAAAATAAGAAAATGATTTTCTTAGTAAGAAAAAATTTTCTTGAAATAAGAAATTTTTGAATCCCAAGATATCTTTTTCTTAAAATAAGAAAAAATTTTCTTAATAAGAAAACATTTTCTTAAAATAAGAAAATACGATTTTCTTACTTTCTTAATAAGAAAACATTTTCTTAAAATAAGAAAATACGATTTTCTTCCTTTAAGAATATGTTCGTAAGACAAGAAATGAAATTCTTAAAATACAAAATTATAAAATAGTAAGACATTATTACTTAAATTTTCGAAGCAAGAAAATGTAAAATGCTAGTGTTATAGGACAACTTATATCTTAACAAGACTTAGAACAACGTATATCTTATTGCGTCAGGTAAATTTGTAGTTTTAATTTCGAATTGAAGAGACTATATGACCGGCAGCTCACGGTTGATCAAACACTAAAAGGCCGGCAGTACATTGACTATATAGTTAAAGTTGAATCTTCAGTAATCAGTATAAGATAGATAAACCGATCCCCAATCCCAAACCCTTCTCTAACCTTAACCCCTAACCCTAACTTTTTGAGAGTTAAACCGGCTGCCGGTAATATAGTCACTTTGTTTTTATTTCGTTTCCAAAATTTCAGCTCGTTTCAGTTTTATTGAATCGTTGAAGAGAATTTTTGCCCTCCGGAATTTTTATCCAAGCAGGAATAGTTCGCCATAGTTCGCGTATTCGCTAAACGCCTGGTACCTAGTTTACCTTTTAGAACGCGGAGCATCGCGGGATAGCGTCGTTTTACATTTTTGTGAAAAATTTTATATAAATATCCATGAGCGCCTTCAAGGCAATTTAAATGGCAAATAACGATGGGAAAAGCATCAGAAAGTCCTTAAAATGTTGTTCAGATACCACAGGTAAGAATAATTGTATATTTGACTTGTTATTTAAACAGATTCATTGCGAAATAATGTAGTGATTATGACTGTTTACTTGAGCGAAGTGTGAAAATAGGGCCATTCCATTTAATATCTACACCCCCCTGTGGACGAGATTTTCCGAAGGGGTCTGAAATTCTGAATTTCTGAGGGAGTTCCAAGTTGAAAATTTCCGAGGGGTGTTGTAAAACAAAAATTTCTGAAGGGATCAAATTTTTTTTTTAAATTTCTGAAGGGCAGGGGAAAATTCTGAACATTTCTGAAGGGGCACTACCTGTTGACGAGAATTTCCGAGGGGGTTAAGAAAATCCCTGAAAATTTTTGAGGGGGTCAAGAAATTCCCGATAATTTCTGAGAAGGTCAAAAAATTCCCGAAAATTTCTGAGAGGGGTCAAGAAATTCCCGAAAATTTCCGATGGGGTCAAGAAATTTCCAAAAATTTCCGAGGGGGTCAAGCAATTCCCGATAATTTCGAGGGGTAGGGAATGTTTTGAAAATTTCTGAAGGGAGCAATAGTTTCCAAATTCAAATCATCTGAAATTATACGGCAGAGCGTCTCTCTCTTCCGCAGTGCCTCCTTAAGTATTTACAAATAACTTACATGAAGTTTCCTGAATAAAAGTGAGCGCGCAGAACGTAGAGAGTTATTGAGCAGTGAAGGAGCAATCTGCGCTTTCAGTTAATAAACGAGCGGGGATACCATGCATATATGATGCATCACAGTCTTAATCTTTGTTATTATCCATGCTTACTATAGCGATACTACATTTGAGGGCCACCCGTTTATATTGTAAGGTGTTACGCACCTGAAATAAAGTTTTTATCTTATCTTTTCCGATTTTCCTGCTCGACGCCAGCTGAAAACAAGCCAGTCATTCTTGAAAAATTATGCCGGATTTCAAACCAAAAAGCATAAAACATGCAACCTAATTCAGACGAACACCGTCAAATTGCCGGGATCTAGCCCTTTTGAAAGGATCCTTTTGGCTTAGAATTAAACAGGCTACTTTGAAAAGACCTATGAAAATATCTTTTTGGCTTAAATATGTTGCGCCCATAGGTGACACCCATCCCACATTCATCGCAGTTATGATGCCACCCTCCCTAACCTCAGGGACTCCACTAATAGTCGATGGACGGCTTTGACTAGCAGCATGGGAGCCCAAACTCATAACGCGCGCTAGCACGCGTATTGATGCCACCTTTTACTATCACTAGCAACACCACATTACAAACATTTCCTACATTTGTATTTATGTACGCAAGTGTAGGCGAATACAGGGATTATGGGACGTAATGAAGACCCAACTTGTTTGTGCGCATGACTAAATTATGTTGCATTGGATGATTGGCGACGCTTGTTTGAACCATTTCCAAAATCAACCAATAGAAAATAGACCTTTTGTCTAAAAGGTCTATTTTCGATTAGCGGGACATCGCTTTAGCAAGGAAATAATCGTTTGATAGAAAATGCAGGTTGCGGATAGATTCTACTTTTTTAAATTGTAATCAAAACTAAAAATTCTAACTATAGTCGTTGTATGAGGGAAAATTTACGTAATCTGTCTATGCTCGACATTACGTAATCTAGATTCATATTATTCGGACAATAGACCAACGAAAAATTCGTTGGCTCGAGCGGGATTTGAACTCGTATCTTCGGTTTACAGTAGATACCCGAAGATGCGAGTTCAAATCCCGCTCGAGCCAACAAATTTTTTGTTGGTCTATTGCAGTGTCAGAATAATATGAAATTGGTTTTTCGTTTCTCTGGGGATGGTTCTGAAATTACATAATCTAATTTCCTCAAGTCTGCAATATCTTACAGTTTGGTATGCTATTCGGTGGGTACGAACTTCGTTAGGTGGCACCCATGTAAAAATGCGGTATTTCAGTCACTACACGATCAAGGTATTGTGTTTTTGACGGGGAAGTATTCTGTAATACGGGCATATTTTTCTTAAAGTTAGAGCGCACAACGAATACTTGTACTTGCACATCGGCGAAATCGCAAGAATGACAGTATAGACATTGTAACACAAAATATATGATCCCACCACAAATAATGCAGCGTGAATGGTGAATGCATTTTGGAACATAACACAACATAAATATATCATGTTAATCTACATTCGGTACTTGCGTTTTAGTTGACTATTAGCGCAAACGGTAAGATTGGAAAATCATTATTTTTGACAAAACAAACGCGCTACATTAAACGCAGGCACGATCAGTATCAGCCAAATTAAATTTCATTGCAATAGGCCTTTCCAAGGTTTCTGCCGCTATATTGCAGGGGGTGCAAAAACATTGGGGCGAGCGCGCGGCCACCAATGGCGCCTATACTATTTCCCATTGAGTGAGTGAAAATTTCTATACAAGCATATCCAATTTTTATTTTTGTATAATCGCTGGTTTTTTCTGATATGTGGCTGAGATTTCTTACTAATCGAAGGACGGGAAGTAATAAAAAACGGCGGCTTTTGTTGCACACCTTGACCGACGTTTGAGCGATGACTCTTGTACAAATATACAATTATAAACAGTAATAATGGCGGACACCAAAGGACTCACACACTTAATGGACAAATATTCTTCCAAAGATCGGTTAAACAAACGAAATAACAAGAATTATCGCTCAAACGTGGGTCAAGGTGTGCAACAAAAGCCGCCGTTTTTATTACTTCCTGTCCTTCGATTAGTAAGAAATCTCAGCCACATATCAGAAAAAAACCAGCGATTATCCAAAAATAAAAATTGGATATGCTTGTATAGAAATTTTTTGAGAAAAAGGACAAAATGTCAAAAGGTAATTTTCACTCACTCAATAGGAAATAGTATGGGCGCCATTGGTGGCCGCGCGCTCGCCCTCGCATTTTATGCATAATTAGCAATTTACCTGTGGTTGTGCATGGTCATTTTCTTGTAAAATATTATACTTAGACAAATTTTTCCAATGACCACCCCTAAAAGTAACCCTTCTAAACACTATAAGCACTTCAGAAAGGCTGTCGCTTTTGCTTTTCGGAAGTTAGAGCTATGTCGACACTGCCTTTCAGGGCGGGGTCATTTTCAGGACTTTCGCCCCGGATTCAGGTTGTGAACTCCAGCTGTATTCGACAGGCTGAATAGGCTAGCCACATGTACGCAGTGCGAACCTATTTTTCTCTTATGTGGGCGCCATTCACTGATAATACATTAGCCTGCGTAGCAGGCGTTTAGTGCGGGCGGGAGAAGAAAGGGCGTCGTTAAATAAACGCCTGCCCAAATGCCTATGATTAATTTGTTCTTCTCCAAAGAATCTTCGGAAAAGCTTCCATTGGTTAATCTCGTTAACGGAAGTAATTACGTAACTCAAATGTCAACAATAATTTTGCTCGCGTTGACGCGTTTATAGCCGCGTATAAAAAATTAGCCCGCGTGCAGGCCCAAGGGAACTGATAGTGGGCCTGCAAGCAAGGCCCGGTATTTTGTAAAACGCCCCTTTTCATAACACGCCCCATTCGCGCGTCAATTGTCAAAAAAGAACCAATGACAGCAACCCAAATATTAACAAACA